AATTGGACTCCAACGTTTTTTACAGGGGAACCGCATCCTCCCTGAATAATTTGATGCCCCAGGAAGTCCAAATTGCTGAGCCTTTTATGATCACAATGGATTGGGTCACCCCAATTAGAATCCATCAAGCCTTAGCTGCCAAGGTGGTGCTCATTGGCTGCTGGCTAGATCCTGTGTGAATGAATGGCTGACAGCATGGATCTGCATTACATCTCTTTTTTGTTCTGGGCAGTAACTGGTCTCCTTTACACATTACCCAAAGAGTGTTCTGAATGTGTGCCACATCCTGTGATGGGTTACTTAGCACAGTGGTTCCCAATTGCCGGTCTGCAGCCTGCTGCCGGACCACGAATCGCTGGCTGCCCGGTCGCAGCATCTCTCAGAGCTCAAGCTGGCTGTTTCCGGCAGCCGTGGTGGCTCAGACAGCAGCAACAGGAGGTGGAGCAAGAGGCGCCTTCCCACTCTGTGCTCGGGGAGGGAGGTGGCACGAAGAAGGAGAGAGGTGCTTATGCCGCCAACAGCCATTCCCTCTGCCCACACAGATGCTTTTGCCAGCAGCAGCAGGAGGAGGCATAAAAGGAGACACTTCCCTAGGGCTCCACACTCCCCCCCTATCTGTGAGCCACTTTTGCAGGTGGTGGCGCTGGGGCTGAGGTGGACCAGGAGGCACCTCCCCAAGGCTCCATGCTTCCCCCTCCCCTTGCACAGCCGCTTTTGCTGGTGGCAGCACTGGGGCAGAGGGAAGAGGAGAATTAGGAGGCGCCTCCTTCCCTTCTTCTCCCCCATAATGGCAACCACCAGGGCTCCATGCTTCCCCCTCTACCAATGGGGGCACAAGACACGCTGGGGGAGGGAGGGAGCACAAAGGAAGGCCACTCTCTCTGCCCACACAGCAGTAACAGCCACACTCCCTAGAGGGGGCAGCCTCTCTCTGGTGAGTGCAGGGGTGGGGTGGGGTCAAAGGGGTGTTGGGTGAAGGCATGGTGGGATCACAGGGCAACAGGGTGTTGGCATGGGCTGTAGGGGTCAGAGGGTAAAGGGTCAAAGGACATGGGGCATAGGAGTGGGGGTCAAAAGGTGTTAGGCACTGGAGAACAAGGGGCTGGGTTGGGTCTATGTGGATGGGTAACGTTTTATTTGCATATCTGCATATTCATTATTTACATAATAAATATGCCAATAAAATGTTACCAGTCCGCCAAACATTTGTGAATAGGTTTGCTGCATAAAAAATGTTGGGAACCACTGGCTTAGCATAAAACAGTGGTCCTATAACATGCTTCTCGTTCCATGCCAACACGAACTTGCCCTGTCACTGGAGCACAGCTGCCAGGGCCACAAAGTTGTCCATGTATGTGCATAAGAAAAACAATCCTGTGCTCACAAATCCATTCTACCACCTTCTTGGCCAGTCTGCCAATATCTGGAATGGAATCCCAACACATTAATGGCAACTGACTATCTCAGGCTGTACACACGACTTGTATACTTCTGCATCCCAATGCCCAGTTATCAGAATTGTCTGTATCCTGCTGCCCCACTGCTGTTGTGGCCCCTAACTATGAATTACTGAGAGCTAAATTCCATGGGGCAGAACCTGGCTTGCTACCTTCCAGAAGATAACAATTGCTGCCCGGTCCCCTTGATCAGTCATTGTCCATCTCATGTTTAATGTCCTTGCTTGCTCCTCCAGGTGTAGATCACATAGTTCTAAGGCCCTCTTTCGCCAAAAGTCCCCCTACATTAACGCCAGCATTAGCTCACCAATCCGGAAAGTACCAAAAATGTTTTTAAGAATGCTGCTTTGAGTAAAGCCATTTAGATTCCTAAAATGTCAACTAAAGTACCCATATGACTGCCAGATGGGGTCATTGGACCCGTGCACACTTTGAGATAAGACTGCTGTGTACATATGGATAACCATTCAGCCCACTGACAAATGTAATAGCAGAGAGGAGATTCCCAAGACTGTTGAAGTCGCTAGTTGACAAGTTATCCATGACCCTATGTACCTGCTGCTCTGTAATGGGCTATTACGGGACCAGTCTTTCCATTTCTGTGATTACATGAATTCATTAAGATTTGTCTACATCGCTTTGCCATCTGAAAGCAGGCAGTGGAGCTCCATGCTAACCCTCCTACCTCCAAGTTCCAGGTAGCTAGAGGAATTCGCTCAGGTTCTTGTATGGGTCCTGGTGTGGCTTCCAAAAAACCTGTTATTAAAAAATGAGGCCAGGCATCTGCTATGTCCATATAAACCCAGGAAAGATAATAAAGTAATAAGTTAATTTCTTGAAATCTATTTGAAGACCAAGCCCCAGGAGATAAACCTGCAAGTTATGCACAGACCGTTGTGTGAAGGGCCCTGCACCTATGTCCTCAATTCATTCCGGTGGAATCCTTGTTTGTTTGTTTGTTTTTATATTGTTTTCTTTTGTTCAAACCACATAGCCCAACCATACGCCAGATCTCTAAGTTGTTTTTGACAGCATATTACATACTTATTGTGTTTTGTTTGACAGCGTATTATTTAGAATCCCCATAAAACAGAATCCTAAACCCACAGAAATGGGCCACCATCTGCTCTATTAAGCTATTTCCAACTGAGCAATTTTAACATTTCCAGTTGAATTGGATATGGTGCCCTTGCCAGCCTGTGGGTGGCACCTGATTTACCCCTATGCTGGTTCCCCCAGGAGCCCTTTCCTTACTGCTGTGGCATGAACATGCTGCATGGGCCCCAAAACTAAATCTACAAACTTGCCTGCCCTCATGGGTGTAAACCTTTCCAAAGCTTGCATCCAATGCCACATGCATTTGTTGCTGCACTGACACACCTGTGCTTTCAGTGTTTCCTTCATGTCTTGTAATCAATTGAACATCAACGCTCTGTATGATCCTGTATACATTGGAAATCCAGAATGCTGTAAAGACAACCTTAGAAACAAATGTCTTAATCAAGGGGGTGTGGCTCATTTATTTGATGCTCTTCTGAAGAATTGGGTTGGTGGCCGAGACATGGAAGGGGAGTGAGGAAAAATCTACACATGCAATCTTTTATCTGATGTGTTACATATGCATTGTATGTGTAATGTATGGGTTAAAAAAATCTACCAATTTAAGCGTATTACACATGTAATCATTATTTTCATCATCTATTTAAACTAATAAAAATATATCCATATACATTGAGTATATATAGCAGCTATAAAATGAATTTGGCTTCACATCACATAGCATTTTTTTTTTCAATTGAATGATGGATTGATTCAAGATTACATAATGAAATATGCAATGCAATAGTGAGACATAATTATGAGGAAAAAAAACAAAGGGTAGATATTAAAAAATATAAATTAAGGCACCAGTCTCACAAATGACATCAGCATAGGGGAAGGAAACTCAGCTAATCAGGGGCAGTGATTCACATATCAGAATTACAGTGCAGGATTTTGTTTTGTTTCTGTCTTTAATTTTTATGAGGCATATAAGTTTGTTGCATATAAAGGGTAACTGGAACTAATGAGCTGTTCTGACACACTGGATATTGCATGTTTAATTTTTGCCTACATTCCTTAATAGTGATTTATTTCAGATGGAATATTTGTGTTTCCCTGATTTCTCTCTCATGCTAAATTTTACATGCCATCAACCACCAGTTTCTGTCTATTTCTTGACTTTTGTAGGAACTTTGAGAAATAATGGTGTGGGATTTGGCAACGGTAAACTTCATCATCCCAACAAATTATGTAGAGTCCATTCTAGGATCTTCTTAATGATTATTATTATTGTCCTGATGCTTTAGCTCACCTATATATTTCAATAGAGGTGCATGATACTTTTGATACAGACACAAAAATAATATCCTTTCCGGATTTAGCACACACGGAAATAAATATATTTTTATTATAGATAATAATTGCAAATGTATCTACCCTACTGGTTACTGCAAAACTCAAAGCCTCAAAGCATGTGTGCTTTTACTTGTTCATGTCCTTATTTGATTATGGTCATGAAATCAGCATTTCAGCTGTTTGGGGGACATAAAAAACCAAACATTGATGATACAGTCGCTGCTGTTCTAATGAATCAAAAAAAGCTAATAATAATTTCCTTGTACTAGTGGGAAAATGTCTTTGTTGTAAGCTTAATTATAAATTGTTTAATTTAGAGATCAGTTCTTGGTAGTGAGGCATGCTTGCAATCTCCCTTAATAATATTGGGAAAATAGTCCACTTTGACTTCTGAATTTCATCCTTTAGTTTTGCTGACTTTATTTTTTAGCTTATGTAATGTGAAGGCACCTGATCGAATGGATTTCTTGTGATTGTGACATGAGCATTTTTAAAGATGAGTTAGGCTTCTAGAGGACATGGAAGTATGAGATAACTCCGAGTATGTATTAGCTTGCACAAAGCCAAATTCTATCTCGCATAGCTGTGCTAATCCTCCTCTTTGGCCTATAAATATGGCTAAGCTAGACCTGGCCCACTGCAGAACAGAACTTGTGACCCTGCTGAATTAAGCTTCCTATGAACAAATGACTCATAAGAAGTAAAATGAGATCGAATTAGAAAGATGGGATAAAATTGTTTAATGTAACTAATTTTCAAAAGTGACTCAGGTGCCTGATTCTCATTGAAAGTCATTGGTGAAAATATGATTAAGCTCCGAAATTATTTAGGGAATTCTACTATGGTTATTATAATTGAGAACACACACACATACACTAATTTGTATGTAATGATATAACCTGCCTTTAGGGAGACATTTCTTCCTAAATACCCATCAGTTAGCTTTTGTTTTATGTCCTGAAATCTATATCTGTATAAATATACATATACACAAACATACAAATCACATACAAATATATATATATGTATACAGTCCACTACACACTAACAGGGTACAGATTAGGTGGATCACTGATCAGTTCTTTTTTTCCTGTAATTTCTGTGATACTGTGTGAAATTCTCCAAATTCCCTCCTTTCTTTTACAGAACACCAAGCTATAACTATGCACCAAACATGGATAAACACTGGATCATGCAATACACTGGGCCTATGCTGCCTATCCACATGGAATTTACAAATGTCTTACAGCGCAAAAGGCTTCAGACATTGATGTCAGTTGATGACTCCATGGAAAGGGTGAGTAACTGAAAAAGTCATAGATAAATTGTTTTATTATAAACTGTTGTAACTGGTATGCCAAGTCTGATTCTTCTCTCATTTTTACTTGCCTTGTGCTGGTGAATTCCATTGACTTCAATGGAGTCACTTGTGATTTACCCTATGTAAGTGAGAAGATAATTATGTTTAAAGTGATAGGGAACCTAAATAAACCTGTGAAAACACAGATTCCAACAAATTCTCTGACTGGCAATGCTACACAGCCATTTTGTTGTCCACTTTTGTAACTGGTAGTAGAATAAGTAGCTTTTAAAGGAAAAACATTAACACGTGTCCAGTAAGCTACAGGATCAGTTTAACTCTCCCAGCCAATAGAGCAAATATATAAAGAAATATCAGGTCCCTTATCTGTAGAGGGTCATGGCACATATACACACATACCTCTACTTCACCCTAATTCCCTCACAGTTTATCCTTCAACTAAGTTATTGCAACTGGGTTCACTGAAGTACAGAGCAAAAATCAGGTGTTAGACTGATTGGCTGTGTCTACACTGGCATCCCTTCCAGAAAAGGGATGCTAATGTAGCACTTTGGAATAGGCAAATCCGTAGGGGATTTAAATATCCCCCGCGGTATTTGCATTAACATGGCTGCCGCTTTTTTCCGGCTTGGAGATAAGCCGGAGAAAAGCTCCAGTCTAGACGTGATTCTCGGGAAAATAAAGCCTTTTCCGGAGGATCTCTTATTCCTACTTGAAAGTGTTTATGAGCATAGATGATACAGGGGGCAGCTAACTACATATAATATGACACATGAGGTGTTCATAGTAGAATTTTGTTCCAAATCCTCTCTCTTTGACTTTATGGATCCAAAGGATTTTCCACCGATGGTAAAGGAGGGACACCGTTACATTTAGTAGCAATCAAATAACAATAAAATAGCTTCATTCCAATCCCTTCAATGAAGGAGAGGAGACCCTTACAAACTAACACATTTGAGCAAGTCTGAGTATGCATCGGTTATAGAGCTAGTAATTTACCAAGCAGTGTATTACAATGATTGTTACATAGAGATTTGTGGGTAGTGGAGACACAAGTCAGATATCACCATAAATTGCCAAAGTAAACTTCTGAAATCCCCCTGAAGCTAATTCTTATATGTCAAGATGTAGACCTAGTGTGTGAGTAGCAAAATAACATTGTATTCAGTTTACTACACCATGCTAAGGGCATGATGCGCCAAATTCATCCTTGGCATAACTGTTTCAATAGTTTCCCAATGGTACATTTTGCACAACAATTTTAAATAGGAAAACTGTGTGTGTATGCATGCATGGTTGTACAAAAAATGTTCTGAAATACTTGATTCTGAGACTGAGTTTTTCCTATGCTATATTTCAGTTGTACCATATGCTTGTGGACACGGGAGAACTGGAGAACACCTACGTCATTTACACTGCTGACCATGGTTACCATATTGGGCAGTTTGGACTGGTCAAGGGAAAGTCAATGCCATATGACTTTGATATTCGAGTTCCTTTCTTTATTCGTGGGCCAAGTATAGAGCCGGGATCAGTGTACGTTCTCCTATGTCTGCAGCACAGCTGCTGTACCTCATCTGAAATGTTTCTAAGCCTATCTGATGGTCACTCTAAGTGTTTGGTTTCCTTTCATAAATACTGTTATTGCAGGACACTGCCTTAGAAGAATAAAAGCATGTCTGTCTGTGTGTTATAAAGTGATCGCAATGTGTAATAGGAAATTATATTACTTGTAGCCCTGAATAGTTAGGCTTTGTCCTTTATTGTTTAAAAGCAAGTTGGTTCAAACGAGGACAGCTATTGCTCATCTTCTGGCTTAGCAGAATTGATTCATTATGAGTGAGCTGGGAGGAATAATGGGCCTGTTTCAAATCCTTTAACTGTACCATGATCACATGCTCTTTATGACAATATCCAATGATATTGATCTGTCCTTCTCAAAGTCACAGCTCCTCTGAGGAAAACTTCTGCACTTAGCACTTTAGAGCTTTAGAGCTTCAAAGTACTCAGAAACATTCATTACTATTATAATCTGAAGGAATGTGAAGGGTTACATCTCTGACCTTTTCTGTTAATTTGCAGAGTGCCTCAGATCGTGCTGAATATTGACCTTGCTCCAACTGTTCTGGATATTGCAGGCCTTGACGCGCCTCCAGATATGGATGGCAAGTCTGTCCTAAAACTTCTGGACCTCGAAAAGCCAGGAAACAGGTGGGTTACTGCCATTTCTCAAAGCCAATTCAGCAGCAAACACCTGAGTAAATTACCAGCTGAATGGAAAAGAAATTGTGGCAAAATAAGCCGTGTCAAGCCCTGTGACCACAGTTTTCACAGTTCAAAACTGCTCTAAATAGCACATTTATAAAGTTGCACATATACGTGAGCTGAGAGGTCATTTTTAAACAAATAAATTTTTAACACTAACTCAGCTATTCAGAAACAGTCCCGGATGCCAGCAATAACTATTATTATTTTTGGTTTCAGGTTTCGGACAAACAAGAAGGCCAAGATTTGGCGTGACACATTTCTGGTGGAAAGAGGGTAATTATTAAAGCTGGGAGAGGTTTGGGAAACTTGCCTAGTGGCAAGCTTACTTATGCTCACGCTCTTCTCTTTTTAGTGGTCATCTAGGCTGTAAAATCTGCACGTAAATTAAAAGGGTTACTTTGTTCCCCAGTGCAAGCTGTGCTACCTGTGGCTCTTCTTAGGCTGTTTCATAAGAGATTTGAAGGGGTGTTTTCCACAGTAACTTCATGGGCTTATCCCTTAGACTTGCCTAGATTTGTTCTTTAACCTCAGACCCACAGACATTCACTTGGTCACCTGGCTGGTTTTCCTTCCCACCCCATCACTCTTCTCCAAGTCCTGCTGTTGATGTGATGGTGCCACATTCTTTTGCCAGTTAATTGTGTAGTTTTCACCTCAAGTAGGAATCCTTCTCCTTTTGATTTAAGTAAAAGAAAGGTCCATATGTAAATGAGATTTGTAAACATAGCTATTCAACTTTTTCTCACACAATTTATAATTTTCATTGCTGTGCTCCTTATTACTACAAACATTCGCTGAGGAAAAGTATTACAATCATTCATTGTATTGTCCTTGTCACATGATAGTCTGTGCATATCAACTTGTGGATATGATGACACAGTAATAGTTCCTAAAGCAGTGACTGCTAGCGTGGATTTCTAGTATGGCACGTGGACCATTCCTGAACTGCAAAAGCTCCTATCGCTATGTCTCACAAGCACGTGGATGATTTTAACTTAGAAGAGAAGTTCTTAGACTTCATTACACCACAATGCCCTTCTGACAAAAATTAATACATGACTTGGGGGAGGGGGAGACATCGAAGCCTGAGCCTGCCCAAGTCTTGCCACCCTGATTAGGAGGGGCCAAAGCCTGAACTAAGGATGTTAAGGGTATTTTGCTAATTGTGTAGTCGATACAGTTGTATCATGTACAATTGTATCGACTACATGATTAGTCGAAAGGGGAGGTTCACTCTGCGACCACTGTGGCTCTGCATTTTAAATGTAGTAAGAGCCCAGCAGCAGCAGTAGCTTTGTGACAGGAGCCCCTTGCCACAAGGGCAGAGGCTGCTTTGTAGTATCCCCCTCTACCTCCTCACTGCCTCTGATAGAGGCAGCGAGGGGGGCAGGCAATACAGCAGAGATAGTGCTGGGGGAACTGGCTTTTAAGCCAGCTCCTCCCTCCCCCTCCTCCCCGGCACCAGCTCCTGTTCAACTACTTTCTTACACCCCTAGCCTGAGTCACTATAATCTGAGCCCCACCACCCAGGACTGAAGTCTAACACCATCCCTGGCAACCCCATTAAAAGAGATTCCCAACCCTTTTTGGACAACCAAGCCATGATTTGAGAACTGCTGTCTTAGAAGATGACCACCAAATACTAAATCTTAAATATCATTGCTGTTTTAATGAAATGGGTCCCCTCCAATGTTTGAAGTGCATTGCCTATGCAATTTTTAATTCTTTTTTTCCTTTTTAAAAGCAAATTTCTGCGCAAGAAGGAGGAATCCAGCAAAAATGCCCAACAGTCTAACCATTTACCAAAATATGAAAGAGTAAAGGAATTATGCCAGCAAGCGAGGTATCAGACGGCTTGTGAGCAACCAGGGCAGGTGAGCAATAAATGATTCTAGAACTGTATGTACCTTAATGGAATGTATTTCTGGGAACAATGTGGTGCCATACTGCATGAGGTCTAGCTGAAACAGATTAAAGAGACTGCATGTGCTTAGAGTCTCTACAAGTAAGAAAATATAAAAATATCTTGGTGCATTACATTAAAAATAGGGTGACCTTATTTCCCAAATTCTTCATCATTCTGGACTCAAGGGAATATCCTCCCCTTCCTTCTTGTTCTCTATCTTGAGAGCACCCTGGTACCATTGGCACCAAAGGTACTATTCTGTGATTCTGTGGTCAATACTAACCAACCAGAAGTCACTCAGGCAGCTACTCCTCAGCAAGACATGGATCAGCCACAATCTCAAAAGCCTGTAGCATCCTCTCCCTCATCATCAGATGAGGCTATGGAGTCAGAGCAAATGCACCAAAGCTCTCGTGTGTTAGTGAGAAAATGCCATTGGGTCTGTTGCTGAGGAGGTCTCAACCCAGGCTCATTGATGGATGCTTTTCTCCTATCCTGGAAGAAATCCCTTCTGTAAGAAATCCAATTTCTTTGAGATCCAGATTCTTATTCAAGGTCAAAGTATATCATGCTTGCCTCATCCTTATATCACCAGCATTGCCTCATCAGCACTGGTGCTCAACCTTACACACCTCCACTGTCTCTCCTATTGGGAGCAGACATTATTTCCCAGGCCAACAGTTGCCTTCTGTATCCTGTCCTCACAGCCCTCCGTCTCACAGCATGGATTCTTTGTGATTAACACCATTTGAGAGATCCTCTTTGGAGGATATTCAGAAAGTGCTTGCAGAAAACACTCAACTAAGAGCTCTTTCCTGGCAAAGGCTACATCTACACTGCTTCCCTTTTCCGCAAGAGGAAATGCAAATAAAGTGCTCATTTGCATAGTGTTGCACTTGCACTTGCATTTGCATTTCCTCCTCTGATCCCTTTTGCACAAAAGGTTTTTGCACAAAAAAGGGCTGTGTAGATGGCTCCTTTTTGCATCAAAAACCCCTTTTGCACAATTTTGGACAGACTTAAGGGAAGACCAGTGTCTACTCTACTCAAAGGATTTTATCCTTTGTGCAGTCATTTATGCTACCAGTTGGGTAACATAACCACATCAGCTAAGGTATTGGCATACTCTAGTATAGTGAAAGCAACATCGGCAGCTGATTCAAGTACCTATCATAGACATTTGTAAAATGAAAACTTGATTATCTGTCTGCTCTTTTGCTAGTTGGAGCAGATAGCTAGATGTCAAATAGTAAACTTGCACCAACAGCTGTTCACTAATATTTACCAAAAAAAATGGGAGCTGGGTTAAAGAATTTTAAAAAATTAGACACAAAATATTTAATTGATTCTGAATTAACATAGTACATTTAGTGATAATATGAAGAAAAGGTCTCTCTTGTGATTTGTAGAATTCTGTATGTATTTTTTTGAGTTTTACAAAAATATTCCCTATTAATAATAAAGATTGAAAATATATGTGTATTTTTCTCTCAGAAGCCCAGTTATGGTATTCTTGCTAATTACCATCATTGCATTTAAAAGAAATATTAGAAAATCCTTTTGAATGAGAATAAAAAGTGCTGCTATGTTTAATTTCCAGTTTCAGTCAGTAGCCACCTCTGATGCTTTATCCGAAACAGGTGGACTTCTGTAAAACAAACAGAATGGCACTCACCATAGCTCCTACACTGAAAAATAATTCACTCCTGCCTTTATTCTTGTCATTCATTGAAACTCACTATTACAGTAAATCTCAGTGAATCTCAGATTGGATTAAAGTCTGTTTTGACTGGCACACCATCATGAAAGCCTTTTACCACAGTTCTCACCTCACACAAGCTCATAAAATACAGCCACTTTTGAAAGAACATTCACAATGTCACAGTCTCACTGAAGGACACAGTTTTAAAGTTTCCAGTGCTTGCCATTGCAAAAATTGATTAAAACTGGTGGAAGAAAGCTGATTATTTCTACAAAAACAGAGATCAAAGATCTCATTTAGACCTTTCGATTCAAATGTTTGTAAATAACAAAATATTTTCTTTTCAGTTATTTTATGTTTATGTCTTATACCAAAATATGTTTTCAGTAACTTTTTTATTACACACATGGAAAAGATAAGACTAAGTGAAGTGATCAACATGAAGATGAATTGCAACATGAAGAGCCCTCAATGCTATGCCTAATCCCCATGAGTAAGACATCGAGCTGCCCCTCTTTTGAAGGACTTATCTCTTTAGTTGCAAGCACCAAGCTAGGAGGGAGCTTACAATAGCAATGGCATTTGATGCTGCCTCTCACAGCTGTGATTGGTTTGAGCTCCTTTGAATTAAGCAAGGACTCTGTAGCCATAGGTTCATGGAATCCAAAAGCCAGTCCTGAAGTACTAGATGAGGATCTGTTCATACTCAAAGATATTTAGGAAAAAATCAATGACCAACTTTCTGTCCTAATGATTGTTTTACTTTTATAAGGATATTGGCACAAGAAAATCAGATAGAAAAAGAATAGGCTAACAGCAGCCATGACTTTTCTAGGGCTCTACAGCTATCAGGGACCCGCAGCCTAAACTAAAGTTAATAAGCTAAATCATTCCTGTGGTAATGCAGTTGACATCTGTATAGTAATACCAAGGACAGATTTGGTCCCAGATTCCCACAGCAGAGTTAACTTGTTCGTGTGGCATATATAGAACAAGATGTACCAGGATAAAATACTAAATGTGTTTCTTAACAATAATTCTGCTTACAGCATAAAGTGGCAGATTTTCAAAGTTAAGTACATGTAATTCAGAACATATACTAACATGTACCCAAATGGTAAGTACACACAAATTGGATGTGGTCACTTGTACATAGGCAGTTACATGCATGCCTGACCACAAGGCTGCATAAATTCCAAATTTTGCACAGATTTACTATATCTACAAAGTTGGCTTTTAAGCCTCTCCTGCTCTCTGTCATACTTTGGGATGTTTTTCTTTGGCTTGTAAGTGAGCTAGGGGCCTGCTGAGAAATTCAGATACTGGTTAAAGTTCAGACTCCAACCTTTGCCACACTCTCCCCACCTAACTTATTTGGTTGGTTAGACCCAGAGGTTTTGGTCCAGATCCAGGCCAATGTATCAATACCACGAGCCAAGTTCTCTGGCCGCACTGTTCCCTTTGCACAGCTTGAATTGTGAAAGCTGTCCATATTTCTTCTGCTAGACATTTCCCTAGCATGTAGAGCTGGAGTAGGAGGCTCCTTACCTGCCTCTTCCCTACAAACCAAATGTAAGGGGTGGAGAGTAGGCATGACAAGAATGTACTGTGCTCCTGCTATCCCCAGCTGGTGGATGGCTTCTTGGAGCATAGCCTGCATGCCCCCATATCTGCTATCCCCTCCAGAAGCGAGACACCACAGAGAATCTGAGCCCATATATCTCCTCTTTACGTAGTTTATGAGCTAAATTTGTCTGTGGCTTAATTGGTTATAAACCTATGACCAGAGCGGAATTGAACACAGTTAACTGAGTATTGATTATGACTATGGGGGAGTCATTGTAGTGGCTTAAAGTTTTCTTCTAGTCAGTGGTGTATATGCCCTAGGACTATTTATTACAATAATTGTGAAAGAACACAAGAATGGTCAGACCAATGCTCTGTCTAGTCCAATATCCTGTCTTCCATCAGGAGCCAGTACCAGATGCTTCAGATGGAATAAATAGGACAGGGAAATTATTGAATGATCCAGCTCCTATCATCCAGTCATTATTTCTGGCAGACAAAAGTTTAGGGGCACCTGGAACATGGGGTTATATCGCTAATCACATTGGCTTAATAGCTATCAAGAGGCAATCCCCCATGAATGTACTCATTCTTTTTTTTAATCCAGTTATACTTTTTGCCTTTACAAGATTTCCTGGCAACAAGATGGCTGTGAATTATGTAAAGAAGTACTTCTTCGTGTGTCTTATGTTTGTTTTAAACCTGCTGTTTATTACTTTCATTCGGAAACCGCAGCGCAGAGGTAAATAACAATTCCCAAGTCATTTTCTACACACCATTCATATTACAGAGGTTGGTCACATTCCATCATTTTGTATCTATAGTTAGGATTATTTTCCCTATGTGCATTTATTTGCATTTATCAATGTTGAATTTCATCTGCCATTTTTCTGACCAGTCATCCTGTATTGAGAGATTCCTTTATAATTCTACACTGTAAGCTTTCAACGTAACTATCTTGAATCATTTAGTACTGTCTTCAGACTTTGCCACCTCACGTCTTATGCCCCTCTCCAGATCATTTAGGAAATATGTTGAAGAACACTGGTTTCAGAATAGATCCTTGTTGTTACTCTGCTATGTAGATCTTTCCATTCTGAAAACTGATCATTTATTCTTGTCATCGTTTCGTGTCTTTTTACCAGTAATTGATCCATGAAAGGACCTTCCATCTTGTCCCATGAGTTCTTATTGTGCTTAAAAGCCTTTGATGGGGGACTTTGTCAAAGGCTTTCTAAAACTCCAACTACACTGTATCAACTGCATGGCCATTTTCTTCATGTTTTTGATCTACTCAAATAATTCTAATAGATCATTGAGTCATGATTTCCCTTCACAAACACGTGTTGACTCTTCCCTAATATATCATGGGCACGTATGTCTCTGATAATTCTGTTCCTTACTATTTTCCTGGGACTGAAGTTAGGCTTCGTATATGGAATTTGTAGTTTGAGTCACTGGCTCTCAGCATCCCCACTATACAAATTGTTCCTGTACCTCTATATAACAAGCTTCTTCATTTTTGTGTAGTTCCCCTTTTTGAAGTTAAACACTACTGTGGTAGGGTGTATTCTGGGGGCTATGTGCTGATCAAGCAGTCAGATAGGTGAGGAAGAGTGCTTACTAATGAGGTTCTCCCATCAGGATCCCTATATAAGAGGACAGGCTAATTTAGGGAGAACAGGTTTTTAAAGAGACAG